GGAGATTCTGAACAGAATCAGATTTGAAATAGATAATAAATACACTTTTGTTTCAATATAATTTGTTTTATGCTAAGATTTCCCCATGCTTCAATACATTCTTCAGCACTCATTCTTCAGACAACAGGCTTCATAAAAGCTCATGTACCATTGTGCTATGGGAAGCTGGGTTTTTTTGCTATGTCTGAGGAAAGGGGACATTAAAGGTAACATGAGTGTCTCTGCCTTAAAATCCTTCTGATAAATATCAGCTGTTTGGAATGACAGAAAGTTCTGGCAAGGCACTTATTTGCCATGCTGCTTCTCTGCGTGTGTTCTTCACTCTTTGGCTGCTTCATGCATGCAGGCTGCAAGCTACGCACCCTTTTTATGTCCTCCCATTGAGCTTGCAGTAGTTGCACATGTAAAGCAGTATGTGTAGTGCCACTGAAACACAAATAAGAGAATTCTATGACATGTTACAGTGTATTCCAGCACTGCACAGCTGGACTCTTTCCTGTCTTGTGCCCCACGATGCAGGGCCATTGCTGCGGGGCTGCAGCTACAGCAGCATCACGGCTCTGAGGCCATTTCTGCCCCTCACACCCCTTCATGAGAGGCATCCACGGAACGCCAGAAACGCTCGTAAGCGGCGCTTGGCTGGCTCGCTCATGAAACCAACGATGCTGATGCACGAGTCCAAAGGTGTACAGGGCTGCATGCACGCATACAGGTGCATTTACATTTGAAGATAGACACCTGCAGGACTTTAAAAAGATACTTGATGACTTCATTTGTCCTTTTCGAAGGAACTGAGAGCTTAGCCCAGCAGCAAAAAATTATTTTGCTGTAAGTAGCCGAGTTTGGCCTCAAGAAGTTTAGCAGCAGACAGCGGAAACCAGAGCAGAAGACACCACTGAGAGGGTAACACGCAGTCCTTGCACCATGGCACGGGTGCCCGTGGCTGCTCTCCTTACCCCTTTGCTCACCACAGAGCTGCCTTGGCATCCCTGGAAAAGGGAGGCCGCTAAAGCAGGAGCCGGGGCTACGAGGGCTGCCCCGCAGGGTGCTTCAGCCTGCCATAGGACACACGAGCTGCCCAAGTGCTCAGCAGCCCTGCAAAACCTCTGTCCCGCACATGCACGTGCACACAAGCACACTTGCCCTACTTGACTCCAGTCATTCCTGCAGAGATTTACCATTTCCTAAGCAGGTTGCCATAGTGACCCTGGAAAATGTTTTTTTAAAAACACTGCCCTACTGTAAATGTTTACATACAGCATAATCCTGCCAAATTGTCTCGAGACAAAGGGAACCACAACGTGCCTTTATGTCCAGCCTCCCGGCTTTTTTCACCCTGCGAATGTACTCTCAGCTAACAACAGGGGCTAATTACAGCTTTCTGTGGGCTTGCACTGCCTTAGGCCTAATAATGGGTCATCTATTAGCTTTAATGAATAACAAAGCTATCGGATTTACTAGCGTTAGCTGATTTCACGCATTTCTGAGTAAATTCTGAGTTAACTGAAAGGCCGGGACTTAGCTCAAGGGCCAGACATCCAGTTGGTACAAATCAGTGTCAGTTGATTGAAGTAATAAAAGTTTTGGTACTTCGGCAGGACTTTACAGATGAACATCGGTTGTTGGGGCTTTTTTTTATAGTTTTCCTGAATCTTGATAAGTAAAGGAACAATTTAATCATTGTAGATAACATATGTGAAAGCAGGAACCATGGATTTCTTTTAATTCACATTCTTATTGCAGCAAGCAAGGCCAACAGTCAACGAAATTTAAAGGTATTTGCTCATGGTGTTGCTTTAAACACTGTAATGTTCCTATACCAACATTAACAGTGGTGTGATTTATGATTACAGAACACATACATAGCTATCGAATGTCTCCCGTGCCTCTGCTCCGTTTCTAAGATACTAAAGCAAAGTCCAGAGCATAATATAATTTACAGCACTATAAAATGTTTTACAGCTGAAGCACAGTGAAAGCTTAATATCCAAGACCTTCTGTAATATGACTATGTCATCTTGTTAAACATTATTTACGGGAACACTAGGACTGACAAGGACTTCCTTCGTGTCACTTTCCTACTGATTATCAATATCACCTTTCGCACTTCATGGTGCTCATAGGGGGAGGCCTTCCGTTCAAAAACATAAGTTCACAGAGATAACAGCCTGTTTCCTAAAAGTTTATATTTTAATTATGTCCTTAGATCACTTGCCCAAGATCACGATCTCTTCCTTTCTAATAAGAATTTATAACATTCCATTCAAGACAGTGGATAATTCAAAACATCGAGACTTTTAAGGCAAATTCTCAAGCGTCATTACCTGAAATTTCTCTTTTTTCTTCTTTTTCTTTTAAAAGAAAAAAGTCTGTATTTCTTGAATGTAAATTCTCTTCTAATTTTGCCTTTATATGAATATCCACCAGAGACGTTTTTCTCGCATTGAGAAATTAATTCTCGTCTTTTCTGCCACTAAGAGGGTAAAAAACTCAGGAAGTGCTCACTTTCTGAGACTCCCATCATCTGAAGGAGAGTCTGTATGAACTTGGACCTGCAAGACCTTGACACTGTGGTATGTGAATGCAGAGTCCTGATTAACTCTGATCTGGTCTCACAACCAAACCATAATGTCCAGTTTTAACTTAATCTAACACTGGATTGCTATATTCCATTCCAAAATTCCAAAATTTCCATTTTACTCTATAACGAACAAAAAAACCCCTCCATAACCATAAAAATATTGTCCTTTGTTATCTGAGTGTAACACAGTGATCCCCTGAAGTCTAAACAGGGTCAAAGTACTACTGCCATTTGCAAAGGTATCACACATTTTGACTAGCTCCTCTTCCACTACCACCCAGTTATATAAAATACAGAATTTCTTCCAGCGTTCAGCCCTGGTTTAGCTGGGCTAGGAAGTCAACTCAATTAGGAGTTGGAATACCCAGCCATTGAAGAGAGGTGGACACGAAGCTTCTTTGCACATCACTATCACCCTCCTCTCCTGCTGTGTAATGCCAAATGAGAAGAGTTTCTCATTTATTGAATGGTCTTTGGACTGGAAGCATTAAAAAACCAACCTCAGCTTGACTTTACAAGTGATATATTAGTTAGGAGAGGAATGTATGTGGAATAAAAGTGATATGAATGAGTACATAGGGCTATTTTCACTCTTACAGTATGACTTTTCCATCTTTTTCTGGCGAGGAAAAGGAGCCTTAAAACAGAAATAAATTACAATGCCTTTTCTGTTTGGGTAAAGTGGCCTTAGAACAAACAAGAAGCGGGCCTGCACATCTTAAAGATGTGGCAGCTAAGTCTGAAAATATATCTCCTGTAAGCATAAGCTCTGCTAACACATCTGATTTCTCAGGCTTCTTATAGGTTGAGATCTTTTACATATCGAGATTTTTACACTCATGAGCAAACTATGTTACTTTAAGCTTCCAGATTATTTTCAACGTCTTTGCTGATGCTGCAGACTACCTAGGTCCCCAAGAAGCATCTTTAAAGTAAAAAGGACAACTTGCACAGGAAAACATTACTAACCTTGAGCAAGGGTAGCAGATTCTATGTTATATTGTCCAGGACTCCATGGAATTAAACTAACACAAAAATGCGTATTTATTATAGGAGCCAGGAATACAGGAAGCTCTGCTCTGTATTACTAGAAACTTGCACTGTCAGGTTTACTGCTACTGTCCTCAACTTTTCTCCCTTCATATTGTCCTGATACGGTGGTTAAATCTGGAATCAACCAGCATCATACAAAAACTTGGGCGCTCCTGGCACTTCTTCAACAAAGGACGTGCTTGTACTATTGATTGTACTGCTGAAAATAATTTTGCTGTGTTGACAGGCATCACTCAGCACTGACTGCGATGAAAAGCTGAAAATTACAAAGTTAAATGAACACCTGCAACAATTTTCCTGCCAGTTTTACAACAAAATAAATATTGAATTATTTCTGATAAGTGGGTCAAATTCATCCCTGGTGTCATGGCCCCTTGAGGATAACAGTGCTATGACAGGAATGAATTTGGCTGCTGTGTCTTTCAGAGAGAAAATGCTCCACTGCCCTTTTTAAGTGGTCTGTGCCAACATTCGTCTTCATTTCGAACCCATCTCTCCTCCTTTACAATGTTTTTGCAGTCGAGAATGTCAACAGTCTGACATGAATATTGCATATGCACAAAAAATAATTTGTGCAACAGCTTTTTCGATTGTTTGGCTTAACAGACATTTCCATTTCTGTGTAGACTTATTTGAAATGTATCACTCCATCAGGGATCCTTCTGTAAAGAAGATGCTTCCCTTTATATCAGAGTTGCTTGGAGAGTATTTACATACCTGTTGCGCTAGAGAGGAGATTTATGAAGAAGATGCTACTGTGCAGCTTCATTTTCAACTCAGGCCTTTCTGTTATCCTATTGCTAGCAGAAGCTGGGAGATACAGTATCCTTCCCTTGTAAAGCAAGGAAAAACTTTATTCTTTCAATCTAGTCAAGTCTGAAAGAAGTTCCTGTAAGTCTCAGGAAATCCACAAAGGAACAGGGTACCTTTATGCCCTAATGCATGAAAATACCTGTTTGAATCTTCCCATCAGCTCCTGTTTGGGAAAGTTCTCACACTCACACAGTGGGGAAGTGTTTGGATGTGCTGCACCTCTCAGCATTAGTTTACAAAACAGGTTTCCCACAGGTCTGCTGCTATGGAGGGCAGTGCTCCAAGGTCTTTCCCTCTTCTCCAGAAGACCCTGCCTGCACCTACAGAGATCTGACTAGCTTATTTAGTGAAGGGAGCTTCAAAAGGCGCCCAGGAAGCAAGAACCATACCTGAAACCATCTCATACTGGAAACCATTTCATATTTGACTTCACATGCATAGTTTCAAAAACCTTTGAGCCTCCATTTTTTTTCCTGAATATTTTCCCTTTCAAACCTCAAACAAAGGACAAAGCAGAATCTCTAATTTTAAATTCTGAAAAAGAATACTTTACCAGTTTTTGGTATTCGGGTAGTGTTCTGTAAGTACTCTCCACTCTTATATAAATTCAAAACTCTTTCTAGCTGAGCTGCTGTTTCATCTATTCCCCAGTGAAGTTCTCCTTTAAAAGTACAGGAAAAAAAAAAAAAAAAAAAAGAATTATTTAGATGAGCAGCAATCTTTGCAGAAGTAAAGAGAGGTTGCATTCAGACCAAGTCCTAGGCATCAGAAGTTGGGGTGCCCTAATTTAGGACGGTGCCATGATGTGAACATATAGTCCATTAGGTAATACAAAGTGGCTACCCAATTGGTTTCCACAGGAATTAATTGTATTTGAATTGTTGTTCATGAGATTGCTACTGAAGCACATATGAAGACACAACACATCCTTATACTGAAGTAGTATGGAAGAAGTATGCAGGTCTTAGTTAAACCTCAAAATATGATTTCACTGATATTCAGGACTACTCTTGCCTTCTCTCTCTGAGGGAATTTTATCCTGTATAAAAGGGCAACCTGGCTCGGTTGCAATCAACATGAAAGCAGCATCCCCCACTTCCCAAGCATGACAGTCACACGAGAGAAAAAGGTACTTGGCATTAGTACCTGTAGTGTGTTTACCTGTTGCGTTGACTATCTTATCCAATAACGGTCTCAGTGAGGATGGAGCACTGTGTGGCAGAAGATATGTGAAAAAGAACCTGTAATGGAAAAATAACCCATATTGAGAAAAAAGTTTACAAGTTTACACGTGTCTGGTAACTATGGAACAACATAAGGAATAAAATTCCAATTGTTCATAAGCCACCAACCTATTCAGGAAATATAATCATATTCTATAGTCAAATAAATGTATAATTGATACTATTCACACAGTTGTCTGGCATACACCTAGACCAAGCTGTTCCATACAAGGCCGCCTTGTAACCAAGTGTAAATGTTCCATTAATACAGAAATTTGCTGTGAATCCCCATGGATTGTGACTATTTGCAGAGCAAACTAACAGAACACCATCTACCTTGGAAGCCGTGGGGGGGCTTTCAAACCCTGTAAGAGCACAACTCAGATTTCTGTTCATTTCATTCGAGTATTATTTTCTTTTCTACAGTTTTCTTGAGCATTAAAACGAACAGTGAGGACAAAACCTTCTCCCACTGCTGCAATGCCACTGCAATTCAGGATGCCTGCTGTGTTCTCACCACTAATCTGAACTCCAGCATGTTCACGTGGATAGTCCTGTTGGATGCAGGGCCTCTGTCAAACACAGCAATAATGATTCAAGTGACTTTGCTCTGTTTTGTGCACATATAAAAAAAAGTACTAGAGCAATTCTAGGTCACCCACATCATAAAGGTCTACAAGTTTACACATTCTTCTCACAGTATCAAATGATTCTTTTAACTGCTCCTAAACTATCCATTCTCAATCACTGTTGGTAAAATACTGTGAAAACCTAAATGTTGGTATCTTTACAAAACACCTCTCTTATGACTCGGAGAAGGAGGGATGTAAAATAACAATATCTTTTTTAAGGTACACTCAATTTCACAGGGTTCCTCTGCATTTCTATCACTCTGCCAATATTACTAACTACTACAAACTGGATGTCATAGCAACATAAGATAAAGATGGACAGTCAAGATCTCGTCATATAAACAGAAGTATCAGACATAAATATTGGGTAATGAGCAGAACAGTAACATAATTGGGAAATTGCCCTGCTTTATATCTAAGCTGCAAAGCAAAGTAAATGTTTTTTTCACATACAGAGACCACTGTCAAACAGAAACCTACAGTGACTCATACTCAGGAGAGAGAATAACAGATGTCTTACATAAGCACAAATTAAAAAATTGAGTTACTGATAGCAGAAGTTGCTTATTGAGCTGACATAGTCCACATACACAATGAATATTTTGCTGAGATTTTAGCTTACATTATGGAAGAGCAAAATTTATCTGTTGCAAAAAGAAATATTTATGATTTTCACAAGCACCATTTTCCACAGGCAGGTTTTCTCGGCGATGAGTGTGAAACAGCCACTACAAATATATACAGAAGTTTACAGAGCAGGGTTCCCTCTGCAATGAATAATTTACCGGGTAAATTCCACCTCATTTTTAGGCTTGGCGAATATCCACCAGCAGCGTCCAATTGATCGTGACGGGCTCTTTGCAAACATTCAGTAGCTGTCATTTACTTCTCTAAACACGGGCTAGATGCAAGCCGTGGAGCTTATTGTTTTTCCTCGGCTATTTAAATACACAACTTGTTCTAAAGCAAACAGCCACATGTGCAGCGCCGAGACGCACAGTCCCTGGCGCCTGGAAAACTCAATTACATGAACATTTGTTATTCATAGATTCTGAGGCCAGTGGCATCGCTTGTGATCCGCATCACACGCGCTGTCAGACTCACCTCAGTTGGCTCCTACGGGGCTTTTCTCATTTCTTCTTTTCCTCGAAGAACTATCTGATCTTAATTTAGGAGCTGGCAACGACGGGAAATTCATCTCAGCCATTCGTCAACAGCTCAAAGTATTAATTAACCTTACTGTTAAAAACGCTAATTGTTTTAAGAACGTTTCTCCAAATGCTTGGGAGGAAAACCCAGAGATGTGTTTGTGATGGAAGATAACTATTTGAAAACTAAGACGTGCCAGTTCTTACACGGCAGTCTTTTTCTTCTAATGTTTTCTCTCTTTTAATTATTTACCCCATAAAGAAGTGAACTGGATAGCTTAATTATCTTTTCAAGGCCAGGGCCTTCTATATTTTAAAAGGACGAGGGATTTATGCAGTCGCTGGCTAGAGCGCTGCTTTGACTTTGAGTCATCAGCACAAGTAACCCTTTGCTGCTCTGGTTTGCAGCTCTGGTTACCTCCAACCACTTGGCACTGGAGCACATGGAAATATGAAGTTCAGCAGCATGAGCAAAGCCTTCCTGGACAGGCATGGGGAGCTCCGTTGCTGCTAGTGTGTCCTCAGGGACAGTTGCTCTGAGAGTCTCCACACCCTCAGAGCACAGGAAGAAGAGTGAAAACCCATATGGATTTGCAGAGCACAGAAAGAAGAAGGGTGAAAACCCATATGAATTCGCATCACAAGAGTTGTAAGAATTGTCTCATTGCAGAGCTGATGGACCCCCTCCATCTTCACAATGCTTCAGTTTTAGTCACACAAAAAAAATGTTGACTTGTACAGTTGACCAACGCAAAGCTAGACTAACTCAAAGTATGCAAAATATTTCCAAAATTAAAAATGCTGTGTTAATGTATTTGCAAATCTCAAACAATTATTCCTGGCTTAACTTACTCCTGGATAACAGATCTAGTTGGATCTGGATTACTCTGAATAACAGAGCTAGAATGTGTTCATTGGTCTAAACAGCAATACGTGATGATGCAGACTTCTCGCTTGTTTTGAATTCTCTTTGACATTACAGAAAACTGATCACGTACCTGTAGGCATTGTAGAGATTCCTCTTTTCGTTCATGTTTTGACATCGGCCCTCCACAGAACAAGGAAGAGTGAAATTTCTTGCAGGGAATTCCATAAAACAGTCACTATTACTGGTACAAGAACTTTCCTCAATGCTGGCATCATCCAGATCTGTCACCTTCAATTCCCCATCTACGATGACGAACTGTCGAGGACGAAAGTCCAGTAACGTCACAGAGCCAAGAGGAGAGTGAGCCAAATAATGCAAGAGCCGAACTAAGCTAAGACATATCTGAAATATAAAAACATGAGTTCCTCGTATTATTTTCTTAGCACACAGCACATGAATTAAACCACTTGAATTGCAGAGATGTTCATAACTGTGACTAAATATAAGCATTACAACTTATCTCCAAAACTTACAAGTTGCTTCCAAGGTATTTTTTTCCAGGGGATTAACACAGTTGATGGTAATAACCCTTAGAGACTTGAAACCAAAATAAGCTTCTTTTTACTAGTGTTTTCCCACACTATTCTTGAAGTGTGGCCCATTGTTGCTATTCTTACTTTTAATAGAAATAAAAGCATTTACTTTTAATAACACATTACATACAGGCCTTGATCATGCAGGCTAGGATTTTGGTTTTTTACAAGCTCAGGGTCTAGGATGTTTGGCTTCAACACTAAGTGCCTATAACCAGAGCTTGAACAACAGAAGGTGTCTGTCTGTACTGCCTCTTCACTGATCACTCCTTTTCAGTGTTTTTGTAACAATTTTCTACTGGTTTCTCTTACGTTTGCCTCGTTTCCAGGGCAGAAGAAATCAAACACACTGACAGTGTAGTTCAGTAGCTCTGCTGACCCAGACAGCAGAGGCTGGGCACATTCAAGCTGTTCTCCCTGTGTGTTTGTGAGGCACTAGCACTGTCTGACGCTTCTGTTTTCATTTCTCTGCCTGACAGACTACAACATTTCTATTCTACTTCAATGACACCAAGAATGTATGCAGAGATACCCAGAGGTACATATGCACATGAGCAAGGATACGGGGTGGCAGGCTTGCGGGCTCTCTTGCCCCTCTAGAAGCATCCACAGCCTTTCTGGTGCTGTCCTGGGGTAAAGCACCCTGCATATACAAGGAAACTTATCGTGTTGTTGAGGAAATGGAAGCAGGTCAAAATGAAGCATCCAAAAAAGGGCTTTTCCTATGGGCAAGTACATCACTGAACTGCCCCAGGACAAGGTACCACACGGGCAAAGCTCTAACGCTTTGAACCTCATTCCTGGTCACACCTAACTTGCCGTGCACAGATTTTCAAGGGCCAACAAAGCCCAGAATGTTGCTTGAATAAAAATACAGGTTGTTATGTGAAATTATTGCCTTCCCCCAAAGGCCAACTGAACCCTACTGCTGTGCTGGCAACCTCTGTGACCAACCTGCTACCACCACCACGCGCTGAGCTCCGGGCACGGGACGGGACCCGGATGGGAGATGGATTTAGGAGCAGTGACAAGTGTCTCCATTGTTCCTAGGAGCTCCTGAAGGAAACCGGAGTCGAGTTCAGTGCAGACAACACGCCTGCTCCACCTGTGCTGGGAAAGCCAGCCAGGACGGGGACATTCCTGGGCTCAGCAACCTCATTCCGTGCAGTGCCAGCAGCATGATTCCAGGCTGGGGTCTGAGCCGGGGCAGGCAGTGCTCTCCCAGGCAGCTCCCAGGCACAACGCAGGAGGCAGAAGGGCCACGGGAGCCTACGTTTATTTTCCTCTTCCTTAGTCAAACAGAAGAGGAAGCTGTAGAAACCAATGATAAAATCAACCCACAGCCATGATTAGGAGATAAATGTAACATCCTTTTACTGTTTAAGCTCCAGTTATGCAGCTCGCTGCTCTGCGCCAACAGTTCTGGGGGCCTGGCTTTTTAACAAGTGTGAAATGCTTGGAGATACAATGCAAAAAAAGCATGTAACCAGCTGCAAATTAGATAACATCAGCAGACAAAATAACCTATCTTACACACTGCAGAAAGGGAGTGCAAAAATGTGTTTCTGAACCAAGATGTAATCAAAAGCAAAGTAAATGCTTCATATATGTGAATTATATGGCATAGTACAAAACCTCTCTTTCATGCTTGCAGGGTTTTTTGTTTATTTGCTTTCTTTTTGTATTTTTACACTGATAGCTCTCCTGAAAGTCCCTTTCAAGAAGCTGTTACTTACTCGAAATCGGTCTTCCCAAGAAGTCTGCAAGAGCTGAATCATCTCTAAGGGCGAGCCCAGCTCAGTGATGGTGGTCAGTGTGTCTGGGATGTCATTGCTGTCCTGGTAGCAATAGCCGTAGAGCTGAAAAAATCAGACAGGCAATTATCAAATTGATAATTCAAGCAGACAGGCAATTATCAATATTATCAAATATCTTGGCATGCTTTCCTTTTTCTTCTTGCATGAGATTCAAAATAATCATTTCCTACAAAGCTCTGAACTCTGTATGTTTTATGTCCTCAAAATCTCCCCCAGAGAGCTTTTGTATCCTCACACTTGAGCAAGACTCCCTTAGAACTCCCCCCCAAAGGACGCTCTTTAGCTAGCACAGTCCCTGTGGGCATCATACGAGACTGCTTAAGTGGTTTCTGCATTCCCCCCACCACATTTTATATTATTCCCTACACACATTTCATATTAATGGATGTGTAAAAAAGACAAGGTAATATCTACAAATACTCATCAATGCAAAGACAGACTTCTATAAGAGAAAAATTAGTTTAGCCTATGCCATATCTGGCTAAATAAGAATCATCTTCCGCCTAAAAGACAGCGCAAAATATCTTTTAATGACATTTCCTACTACTTGTGCACTGGCTGGCAACGCACATTTAAACGACACAGTGGATTGAAAAGCAACTGAAATGCCAAAGCTTATCTTTTCCCACCCAAAAACCTGTCTTTGGCTGTAACTGATGGACAATGATTTGCAGTATCATTAGAGAAGGGCAAATACTGCAAAACATTATCTGGAAGCAGTTTCTGCAACTCAGAAGAATTTAAATGGCAATTTGAGCCACACTCCAGCTCCCTCTTACATTTGCTTTCCAAGGACATTTGAATGATTATTTTTTTCCTTGCACAAGAAGAATATTCAAGAATTATGGAGAAGATGGCTGGCTTTATATGGAGTAGGACGAGGTCTGACCCAGCTAAGGGGATAGACGAGCTCCTTTGCCAAGCCCTGGCAGAGAGGCAGCTAAATGAGCCTGATAAGGATCAGGCTGCAGCTCTCCAAGCAGAACAGCATGCACAAGAAATAACACTCAGTGTAATCTCTGCCCCAAGTCGAATAAGCCATACGGTTAAAGGGCTTGGTGAAAAAGTGATTTTTAAAAATGGCTCCAGTTCTGTTCATCTACCACCCTTTCTCTGAAAAATTAGACTTTTCTTCATCTTCAAAGCTTTCGGAAGGAAGCTCAGGGAGCTGCCCCGGGCCCCCATGGAGCTAAGGGGACAGGACAGAGCCCTGCAACAGAGGCGCTTGTGCAGAGCACGGAGCACCGATTCCCAGGGAACACAAGGACCAGGGAACACAAGGACCAGGTCAGCGCCTGCAGCTGCCACAAACAACCCCTGCAAATAGCCCCGACTCGGGACTTGTGACCCTGGCACAGGAAAGCCAGGAAAGTGGCTCAATGCAGCAAATACTCGATCTGTTATGAGCCACGCTGCTAGCTCCAACCAGAGCTGTCTGCATTTAAATGACATAAAAGAGTTCCAAAAATGCAAGTGAAGTAAACAATTATTCTTTTTGGTGTAAGAACGGCGCTGTATTTCAAAACAGCTGCTAAGACACAGACATTAAACTAAACAAAAAGGAGCTAGAAGATTTCATTTTAAAACATGCCATAAAGATTTTGGCACTGAGGCACAATAAAGAATTCAAGATAGCTGTGTATGAGCAACAGAAATAGAAAAATGTGCAAATGTGCCCTTTATTTACTGCCACAACCATGACAACAATTGTAAGAGAAACCATTTATTAATCTAGAGTTATTTGGACTGGTCCCAGGGTTTGTTCCTTATCATCTGTGATAACATTTTTGTGCAGCTTACTTAAGAACAGTTAAAACTGTGCTGTAAACTGTCTTACATTATCACGCCAGGACAACGGTCATTAACAAAGAAGTAACAGAAAAATCTTAATTGCAATATGTATCTTTTCAGATAATGCTCAAAATTCCTCTGAAATGAAAATTAAGGGCTGGTTCCGCAATCATCCAACGGTTAAAAAAAAAGCCATAATGGGCATTAACAACGAATACAGGCTAGAAAATCAGGATATCATAACCAACACTAATTTCCAGTAAAATAGAATGCAAAAAAAGTAAAGCCCAAAAAATGCTCTTCATCAGGCATTTTCAACATTTGTGAAAACTACTTCAAGAATGGAAATAAGGAAGACAAATGAGAGTCATATATTCAATTATAAAAACGTGATTCATTTACATCCATACACACAAAATGCTGAGAACGTAGTCTCATTATCTATGGATATCAATACATCGATAGTAAGGAAACGCAGAATATATATAATATGTATTCATCTCTGTGAACTAATTCCAATAGTTACAACAACGATTTCGATTTGTTCTCAGAGAGATGGCACTTGGCTTGTAAGTAATTTTTTATTTTAGTATTCAATTATACTTTGGCAAAACTCTTCATTGTTTTCATGTATTTCATACATGTCTTATTATATAAAGGGCAACTTAGTCACTTCTGTCATTGAAGTAGCTTAAAGCTGATCCAGTTTTGACTGTATTAAATTGTTCTTTATTCTCATAAGTTTTTTTGCAAAAAATAATGTATTACTGAATTTAATCTTACAAACTAAAAACATAGTACTGAGGAAGTTAGCATATGTCTAACTCAGAAAAAGTATATTTAATTTGAGTTCTTTATTGCTTTTACTTAAGTGAAATCTCTCCAGATGTAGTGTTATTACATAATTATATAGAGTTACAGAAGCACAAAGGTTTGATATAAAGGATTTATTGGGCTGCATTTATCCTTTTGTAAATGAAGTAAATGCAAAAATGTGCATGTAATTACATAGCCATATTTATATGTACAGTTATCATGATTACAAACTGGGCATGTCCCAACAGCCAATTAAGCGTCTAAAAAGGCTACATTCGTCCCATCCTGATGAACCACCACCCAGAACACAGAGGTTAGAAAATCTGGAATATATATAGATGCAAAATGCTCCAGCATGGTAGTTCTTACGCCTTTTGTTTAAGCAGCTGACTTATTAGACAGATACCTTTCCCTCTTTTTTCCTTAAAAAGAGATAAAAAATAGAAAGTAGAAATAAAAATCCATTTTTGAGGTCCGAAATGAGAAAAAGGGTTTATATGCCCAGACAGTGAAGTAAAAAACAGATATCTGGACGCATGCAGGTTAAACGGCCACAGTTGGAAGCAAAAGATGATCCAAAATATCTGCACTACCTGAAATTCCCCTAGGATGGACGTTATTTTCAGTACCACAGAGCTCCATGTGAGATATATTCAAGAGCGATGGTTTTCATACATTTTTTCAACACGGTTCCAATTAAACAAGTGGGAAGCAACACAATCCCACATCTTTTTTGATATTGCATTTAAATACAAATATATTGCCACCGAGGTCTGGAGTTTTTGCCCCAAATCTAACAGCAGACAGCCACCACATGGGGCTGCCCACCCCGCTGCATGGGGGGAACCCGAGCCCACGCGTGGGGGCTCTAGCTGTTCTCACGTTGGGCACTGCAATGCAGTTCAAGGAGTCCTGTTTACCGAGCTCTTCGGCAGCTCTTCGGGTCTGCTCCATGGCACGGGCTGCCTCCTCCTCCTCCTTACTCTTTATGCTCCGAAAACTCCCCACGGCCTCAATGGTTTTAGGCGCACTGGGCATACGGGGTCAGCCCCAAACGAGTGGGATGGCTTTGTGGGAAGCGGCCCGCCAGCTCCCGTCCCTTTACAATTCCTTTTTCCTACAAATTATCGGGACAGAGGTGGCCCTTTCAGACAAGCTGGGGGGCGACGGGGGAGGCAAAGGTCAGGCCCTACACAAAAGCCCGCAAGCTTACTGAATAAAAACACAAAATGAAGGAGCTTATTAAGCTGTCATCAGCGGGGTAAGTATATGCAAACAGCAGAGCCTCCCGCCTCGGCCCGGGCACCCTCAGCGGGTGTTGAGGAAACAGACGTCAGGGCAGAGCCCAGGCCAACGAGCCGCATGGCAGCCGCAGGAGCTGCCCACGCGGGAAGGCCGCGACAGCGAGATCTGCTCCACAACCACAGATCTAGAAAATTCTGCCTCCCCTCCTCCTCCCCCCGCCTCACTTCTTCAATGAGGATGAGATTCTCCTGCCACCAGGAACAGGAGCTTCAGGAACACAATTTCCAGCAGTAACACAAGGGCCCACCCAACTGGGCTGCACCACAAATGAACTCAAGAGCGCTAACCCGCTTCCCTTGCAAGCTGGACTTGCCCACACTTACTACAGCGGGGCATTGACTTCACTTCCCAACAGGAAAGTCACACTTCCAGGGCCAGCAACAATTCCCAACACTCACTGCAAGCTTCATTTTCAAAAATGCATGGACACAAGGTTATCGAATCAAAGTTAGTTATGGCAAAATTATACTGCCTGCTGACCTGGGACCCATGAGAAATAAAGCCTGGCTGTCCCACTGACATTGGGAGCCATTTAGTGAACCATTTCTGTGAGTTGCTGCATGCCAAAAGCAGAAAAGTCCATTTTACAAGGCTTGATCAATATTTGATCGATATTCAGTTAAACATAAACCTTTATAGGCCCCTGATCTGGCTTCACCCCCCTTTTATAGGGCTCTGCACAGCCCCTGCAAGCACAAGCCAGGCACTGCCCAGCACAGCCACCACTTCCAACACACGAGCTGAGACACTCGTGCTAACCACCGTGACCTCCAGCTGTGTCTTAGGCTTCAAACACCCCCTTCCACTGCCCCGTGCATCTGGGCATATATAGGTTTATCTTTGCCACCACTGCTCAGCCCCGAAGCATCTGCAAACCCACCCCGCGCCTCTCCCTGGAGAAAGGGCAAGTTCCTCGGATGGCCTGGAGCCCATAGGGATCAGCCTGAAGCCAACCTGCCCACTCCAGGCTGTCTAGAGACGGTGCCCAAAAAGGGAACCGATCTCAAGCTATCCCATCCTGCCAAGAGCTGAGCTTTGGAAAAAGCTCAGGATACAGCGAGCGCTAAGCTGGGACCGCAGCTGCGTGCGGGTGACTGGGAAGCACAATTTCTTCTGCTGACTAATGCATA